GTTGGGCGGGGCCACAATGGGGAATCAAAGTTTTACATAGAAGTATATAGGAAAAATCTTCTTCTTAATAACCACTGGGCCAGAAAAGCTGAAGCTTATGTGGAAGCATCCTGGGGTAGTGTAGATTCTAAATTGTTCAAATCATGACCCGAGGGGGGGGGGGGGGTAGGGCGGGGCCACAATGGGAAATCAAAGTTTTACATAGAAATATATTGGACAATTTTTAAAAGCTGAAACTTATGTGGAAGCATCCTGGGGTAGTGTAGATTTCAAATTGTCTAAATTATGATCAGTGGGATAGGGTGGGGTCACGATATGTATTACAAGGGGGAAATCTAGTAAAGAACAGAATGGTCAAAGCTTCTCAGGTGAGCGATGTGGCCCATGGGCCTCTTGTTTACCTTGACATTTCCTGTGATCTTGACCTCACTGTCTTAGACTAGATCAGTTTTGAATAAACAGTTCAAGATATATTAATCAAACTTCATATGCTAATCCATACTGATGAGAGCTATTATTGCATTAACTTATTTTGACCTTGAATTTTCTTTAAAGTTCTTCTTTTCAGGAACACCAAGAGCATGATTGATATGGAAATATTCTCAAGAGGTGTAGATTCAAGTTTGTACAAATCATGACCACCAGGGTTAGGGAGGTGCCATATTTTTCCAGCCCCTTTTTGCCATCCATATGAAAATTCAAATTTTAAAACCATTTTACACAAACACAAAACAAACCAATCATTTTCTAAATGATCATGGTTTAAAGCTATTGCAGCATAAGATATTAGGGAAGTTCTTGAAAGCAGGGTGATTAAACATGTCAAATATATGTAAAAAAATATATATATATTTATTATTCTACCTCGATTTGATCCCCATTCCCCCCACCCCCCAGGCAAAATGAAAATTCCGAAACCTTACTGCACATCTACATGACACCACCAACCATCTCTCAAAAGATGATTAGGCTGCTGAGTAAAATGTAGAAGGAGTTCAGGGAAGAAGGGGCTTTTTGTATAAAAAATGTCATTTTTCAACCCCCATTTGATCCCCCGGGGCTAAATCAAAATTCCGAAACCTTACTGCACATCTACATGACACGACCAACCATCTCTCAAAAGATTATTAGGCTGCTGAGTAAAATGTTGAAGGAGTTCAGGCAAGAAGGGGCTTTTTGTATAAAAAATGTCATTTTTCGACCCCCATTTGATCCCCCGGGGCAAAATCAAAATTCCGAAACCTTACTGCACATCTACATGACACGACCAACCATCTCTCAAAAGATGATTAGGCTGCTGAGTAAAATGTTGAAGGAGTTCAGGGAAGAAGGGGCTTTTTGTATAAAAAAAATGTCATTTTTCGACCCCCATTTGATCCCCCGGGGCAAAATCAAAATTCCGAAACCTTACTGCACATCTACATGACACCCCCAACCATCTCCCAAAGGATGATTAAGCTACTGTGAAAAATGTAGGAGGAGTTCAGGGAAGAAGGGGCTTTTTGTAGAAAAAACGTCATTTTTCGACCCCCATTTGATCCCCCGGGGCAAAATCAAAATTCCGAAACCTTACTGCACATCTACATGACACCCCTAACCATCTCCCAAAGGATGATTAAGCTACTGTGAAAAATGTAGGAGGAGTTCAGGGAAGAAGGGGCTTTTTGTATAAAAAACGTCATTTTTCGACCCCCATTTGATCCCCCGGGGCAAAATCAAAATTCCGAAACCTTACTGCACATCTACATGACACCCCCAACCATCTCCCAAAAGATGATTAGGCTACTGTGTAAAGTGTAAGAGGAGTTCAGGGAAGGCGGGGCTTTTTGCATAAAAAAAACGTCATTTTTCGACCCCCATTTGATCCCCCGGGGCAAAATCAAAATTTCGAAACCTTACGGCACATCTACATGACACCCCTAACCATCTCCCAAAGGATGATTAAGCTACTGTGAAAAATGTAGGAGGAGTTCAGGGAAGAAGGGGCTTTTTGTATAAAAAACGTCATTTTTCGACCCCCATTTGATCCCCCGGGGCAAAATCAAAATTCCGAAACCTTACTGCACATCTACATGACACCCCCAACCATCTCCCAAAGGATGATTAAGCTACTGTGAAAAATGTAGGAGGAGTTCAGGGAAGAAGGGGCTTTTTGTAGAAAAAACGTCATTTTTCGACCCCCATTTGATCCCCCGGGGCAAAATCAAAATTCCGAAACCTTACTGCACATCTACATGACACCCCTAACCATCTCCCAAAGGATGATTAAGCTACTGTGAAAAATGTAGGAGGAGTTCAGGGAAGAAGGGGCTTTTTGTATAAAAAACGTCATTTTTCGACCCCCATTTGATCCCCCGGGGCAAAATCAAAATTCCGAAACCTTACTGCACATCTACATGACACCCCCAACCATCTCCCAAAGGATGATTAAGCTACTGTGAAAAATGTAGGAGGAGTTCAGGGAAGAAGGGGCTTTTTGTATAAAAAACGTCATTTTTCGACCCCCATTTGATCCCCCGGGGCAAAATCAAAATTTCGAAACCTTACGGCACATCTACATGACACCCCTAACCATCTCCCAAAGGATGATTAAGCTACTGTGAAAAATGTAGGAGGAGTTCAGGGAAGAAGGGGCTTTTTGTATAAAAAACGTCATTTTTCGACCCCCATTTGATCCCCCGGGGCAAAATCAAAATTCCGAAACCTTACTGCACATCTACATGACACCCCCAACCATCTCCCAAAGGATGATTAAGCTACTGTGAAAAATGTAGGAGGAGTTCAGGGAAGAAGGGGCTTTTTGTATAAAAAACGTCATTTTTCGACCCCCATTTGATCCCCCGGGGCAAAATCAAAATTCCGAAACCTTACTGCACATCTACATGACACCCCCAACCATCTCCCAAAGGATGATTAAGCTACTGTGAAAAATGTAGGAGGAGTTCAGGGAAGAAAAGTGTGACAGACGGACGGACGGACGGACGGACATGAGTAACAACAATATACCCGAACTTTCTTTCGAAAGTGCGGGTATAAAAACACTTAACTAAAGATAACGATATTGCGTTTAGATACGAGTACAAGTACTTGTACCTCCCCGTTTTAAGTTTTCTTGAATGTCAACTAACTTGTCTCTGGTTTATTTTCGCATATGACCTCAATCATCTAGATTAGCATTTCAGGCAGTTTTGTTCCTTTTGGGGTAAATGGACGCGCCAGTGACGTCACGTCATGGCGTCGCGGACAACGGATATTTGAGCGAAGTTGTGGAGAAACGTCACCGCTGCTGCTGTAAAACATGAGTTTGAAATCTTATGCATTAAGAACCGTAAAGAATCGTCCCTTCCAAAAAGATTGGTTTGTGTTTCATAATTTTCGATTGAAGATTAATTGTGCGACAGCCTTGATACTAAGCGAGGGGTACCCAGGTGACATAAAATGCGTTGCACTCCTTGTGTTTTTATTATAGGTATTACGTATTTTTTTGAAAATTTCTGTAAAATTGATAGGTACGCGAACTCCTGTGATTACAGAGACCAATTTCTATAAGGTTTTTGAGATGATGTTCGATTGTTGTGTCCAAGTGAACCCCCCCCCCCCCAAAAAAAAAAAAAAGAACACTCAGTTCAGTAGCATTAATATCATTACTGCTTTTGATACAGTCTGATTTACTTGAAAAAAAAAAATAAATATAATTAATGATTTTTTTTATTTTTAAATATGGAATTAACTTTTTCAAAACAATACTTCATTATGTAAATGAGCCTGGTGTTTTATGTTTCTCCGCGTGGTAGTAGAAAAAAAATTTATTATTTATTATTTAACCCTGAAGAACCAATTTTATACACTTTGATTTCATTTGTAAACATGAAAGTAATATTTTTTTGGTATTATATCGGGATCGATTTTTTCGAGGGGAGGGCCCATGGTGTCCTTATTGTCGGACTGGACTTCTCTTTTATATTGTATTTGGGGGGAGGCACTGTATCAACACAATAACAATGTATTTTAAAATGTTGGTAATGTTTAGAAACATACTGAGTTCGAGACCCGCAACGACAAATTACATTATCATTCAGTCATGCCAACTTTGTTATGAAGCGTTTTAATTATTTTAAAATGTTTATCAAATACTGGAAAAATGAGATAAATTATATATTAAAAGTAATTAAGTTATGCATATTTGCATCAAGAAAGTACCATGTTATATGAGGGCCGTTTTTCTCGAACACGTCGGTATAAATTAATAGCATTTAGTATAAATATTATTTTAAAAAAGAATTGGGGTCTCTTTTGTTCTATCTAAAGTCTTTCCTGGCAATTGCTGGCTATAGGATTAATGGTTGCGTACTTTATTGTACCGATATTAAAATCATTGGAATAAATATGATTCTTTTTTAATCATTTTCCTTACATCCTTTTACCTTGGTTAAACAGGTGCTTTTTTTATTATCAATTTGATGCTTTTTTCTGACGCAACTATTTTACGTCTCAGTTGACGTCATAGTACGGCATCCTTGACGTAATAGTCGTAACGTTATTCGGCGTCGAAAGGGTTAAGGAATCGAAAGGTTTCCCGAGCTTCCATGTAGTTTCCCGTAACAGAAAACCTAAAGATTCCACCAAGTTTCCATTCCATGGAAACCACTTCGCTCCGATTCCATCAAGTTTCCTGATTCTGGAAACCAGTGGAATCTTCAGGTTTCCCATTACGGGAAACTACCTTGATGTTCGGGAAATTTAAGGTCGAAAGAGATTTCCATAGTTCGGGTTACCTTATGGAATCAGAGCGTAGTAGTTTCCGTGTCACGGGAAACTTGGCGGAAATAAGCTGGCATCCGCTGCGGAAACCACTGGAAAACAAGATGTAAACTTGAGGTTTCCATAAAGTTTCCTATAATGGAAAGCAATTTTTTCACCTTTTTCACCAAGTGATACAAATGTGAATTAAAAAGAAATCAAATTATCCCGAGTGTAATTTTCTATATATTTTTTTCTAGCTAGAAATATAGACACAGGCGATAAAAGGGAAGATAGTTCTGCTACAAATATAGACTCAAAGACCTTGACATTCTTTGACTTTGGCGGACAGTGTGCGTACTACGCCTGTCACCAGATTTACCTGACCAGGAGAGCTTTCTATGTTGTGGTGGTGGACGCCTCTAAACGTCTTGACCAGAAGGTGGATGAGAAAGTGTGTGACCAAGATGGAAGCGTATTCTCTGGATGGACCTATGGAGGTACTTGACTGCATAAATGTTAAAGAATGTGTATATTCTAGCTTATTTAGAAATCTGTTATATTCATGCAAGTGTTTACAATAAGAGCTTACAAATACTAGTTTTCCATATTTCAAATGTACAAAGCGAAAAAAAAATCAAGATTGCATGGAAAAAAGAACGCAATTAAAATATTATAAATTATGTCAACAAACTTGTTTAAAATTACAAATAAAAGTATAACTTTAAATAAACTGGCAGGTACATGTCCAATTTACAGGACTAATTAATAAAAGATTATAGTAATGGGTTAAAAAACGATATGATGTTTATTCCAATGCATTTTAAAAATAAATTTAAATATGTCGATACTTTTATGTGAATACAATTTAAACATTTTAGATTATTTCGTGTTCTGGAAAAAGTCTATCCACACCTACTGTGGTTCAGAGAAGGACACAGATCCTAAGCCAACCGTTCTGATTGTAGTGACTCACTGGGAAGAAGGAAACAGACAGTATCAGGTAAAATAATCTAATAATGATTTTACTTATCTTATACATTTGTATGCTTATACAGGTTAGTTGGGTTGAGGTTTCACTTAGCCCAAACTTTTTTTTCCCAATATAATTCGTCCCAAAACGCTAGTACCCGTTGTTTTTTTTTAAATAAAATTGTTATGTAATGAAATACTTTTGAATATGAAAATCGAATTTTATTTTATTTCAAAATGGTGATTACCATAAGATAATTTCACTTCACTTCCTGAATCGACATGATGAACGCAAGATTAATTGTTTTTAGACTAGCAAAGATACAAGCTTACCAAATAATTCTTTTTTTTATTTCTTATAAAACGGGAATCGTTATATTTATAGTTTCATCAGCAGTTCTTTTTTTTAGCAAGATTGCAAGATAGCCATTTTTGCAAGTGAAGCTCTCTTCTCTTTGAACAGCATAATAAATCGATGGAGGGCTAGAATTTTGACATAAGATTCATATTTAAGAAATTATTATAATGTTAAATAGTCAATGACTAAATAGTACACACTATGCTTCCTATTTTTTAGTTAAAAAAATTGGCCTATCTATTCTGAACTACCTTAAGTTTTCAAAAACTGGACGAAAGAATTTAAATTTAAAGCCAGAAGCTGAGATGTGTCCTCGGACCTAATTTTTTTCATTTTTTGAAAATTCATATTTTTGAAAATATTTCGGGATGATTAACATCTAGCCCCTTTTGTCTATTGAGGAATGTCGTTAATTTATATTTTGCGTTTGATATCTATGAAATTCAGGAGTGTATTTGGAGCATCGACCCCTAGCCCCAAGTATAGTGTTTCCAAGGATCAATTTTAAAACGTATTAATATTCGGCATCCCAAACTCCCTGATCCATTCTTTTATGTCACATTTCAAAAATTGCTGTTTTAAACTACGTACTATGATGATTTAATTACACAATCATATAATACTCTGAATGTAGGAATAAAAATGTTTTTCCAAACTTACGTTTAATGCAAAAAAAAAAAAACAAACAAACAAACAAATCCAATTTTTTAATTCAATGTCACTTCACTAACTATAATTTTTAAGTAAAATGAAACCTGATTCAGAAAAAAAACACATTTTATATTGAATAAAACTTTTGTTTTAATTTCAGAGTAAAGAAGCTCTTCTGAACAGCCTGAAGCATATTTTCCCTAAATCGACTAATTTATCCATGTACATCACCGAAGATAATGTTTATTTTATATCCTTTCCTCTCAAACCACTACAGGATCTGGAAAAAATTGTTTTCGATATAGCTTTACATCAACGATGGAAAGAAAACATTCCAAAAGAATGGGCCTTCTTTGAAATAGAGATTAATCAGAGGAAACATAATGAAAAGATTTTAGAAGTTAACGATTTAACAACAAAGCTTTCAGACAAAGGTGTTGAAGTAACATTGGAACAGTATGAAGATATGTTAAGATATTACCATGATGCGGGGAAAGTGCTTTATTTTAATGAAGAACAACTCAAGAAATATGTTATCATTGATGTTCAGTGGTTTATTGATGCTTTCAAATACATAATTACAGACAAGCTTCATTTTAAAGGCATTGATGTAGCCCAGGAAGACTGGGATGAGTACTATACTACAGGCAATCTGAAAGACGGACTTCTTGCCAAGATCTGGGAACATAAAGGTGACGTTTCATACACAAATCAAGAAGAATTGGAAGATTTGCTAGACCCTGACCTTGTCGACACTAATGGGAATCTACTCCTGAAATTCATGCAAAGACTTGGATTGGTAGCTCTTGGTCAAGAATCCCACTATGTACCATGCATGAACCGGAAGGAAATGGAGGAAGAACTTTCAAATCTCATTAAAGATTCAGATTCTAAGTCATCAGTCCTGATCTATCGATTTACATTTTTGCCATTTTTCTTCTTTTTTCGTCTTATTGTAGCTTGTATGCAAGAAGATGACTGGGAAGTACTTAAAACGCATGGTACATCTTGCCTCTACAGAGATACCGCTGTCTTTTCGTTTGCAGAATACCATATTGTTATATCAGTCACGAAAGAATCTATTCAACTGCAGGTGCTTCATTCTATGCCAGGTCATGCTTTGAAAACAGATAAAACACAGAAAATCCAAGAAAAAATAGAAAATATATTGCATATGTTTGCTGGACAGTTTATGAAAAAACTGTTCTTTGATAGAGGAATAAGATGTCAGATGGATAGTTCAAAAGCGACTGCCATGGATATCACAGAGCATTTTCTCACAGGAAAAAACATTCAAAAGGATGATCGGGAAAAAATGTGTCCTTTGCATCAAGTTATTAATCGACATTTTATCAATCCCAAAGAATTAACCAAGTATTGGAAAATGTAGAAATAGTTACAGCATAAAGTATTTAAAACTCTTGACTGAACCTATTCTCTGTGTATTAGCATTGAAGACGACATGTAAAGTTATTCACTATTTCTATTTAGATTTTTATTACCAAAGTATCTAAGTGGTGACCGGCAACATGACTCAAAAGACAGATTACGTCACAATCTCTGCTGATGTAAATGTTTACCTCTATTAAAATCAACAGTTCTTGTGTAATGTTATTCTAAAATTGTTTTGTTTAAACAATAATTATAAAGAAATATTTAAGAGTTATTAAAGATTTTGCAAACATTTAGATATTGTGTAATTGCCAAATCCACACTAACATTATTGACGCATTGTTCGAATTCTCAGTGCAGCAAGATCAAGCACACATTAACCACACCCGTCATGATCAGTTTTATTTCATGATGAAACGTTTATCGTCAATGCATCGTGGTAAATTTCAGAAGTAGATTTCTTTAAATATTTTTTTTCTGTGTTAAGTAGCCAAATTCTTTGTATCCATGTAATGATGTGAAGCCTTTTTATAATGCTGACGTCTTATTCAAGGATGCCCTGTGCGATATTGAGGTACTTTTCAGCCTGCGATATTTATAAAGCTATTTATTAAGATGATTTAGCAATATTTATTGAAAGAGTCTTTGTCCAAAATAAAGTTTTGTCGCTGCCGTGAAAATTGTACTACTGTAACACAAAAAACATTGTGAAATTAAAACATTTGCTTATATTCTAAATTATTTGAGCATATTGTATTATTTTACATATTTATTATGTGTGCATAAGAATTCCCATTATGGACTCCATAATGGACCCGTAAACATGAAGTATCGAAACTTCATACAAACACAATACAGGATGATATTTGGGAGGCGATATATTTTTAAAAAGTCAAGAAATCGCCATACAGGACCGTTTATGAATGTTATGTAAACTATGTATAATTAATAAGTTTATAAAAGGTTTTTGAAATTAATTACTGGAAATTTTTAAGCTCAACACCCTGTTCCTCCTTAAGTTTTAACATTATTTTTATACCCCTGCCCCGAAGGAGAGGGGGGTATACTGTTTTACCCTTGTCTATCTGTCCGTCCGTCTTTACGTCTGTCTATCTGTGCATTTGTCCGTCAGCAATAAATTTTAATCGAAGTTTTCCCAGCAACTACAGTTGCAGATGCCTGAAATTTAAACACAATCTTCTCTGAAGCAAGTCATATGGTGGGATTCGTTTCTTTTAAAATCTGATGTCAACTTCCTTTTTGTCCGTGCGTCTGTGCGTCTGTCTTTTTCGTTAATGTTTCATACATTTCAAATTTTTGTAACAGTTTTCTCAACAACTACTCATCGCAGATGCTTGACATTTTAGCACACTATTTTATGTGGCATGCTACATGTATATGGTTATTTTTTTTTCAAATGTGTTGTTAACTTCATATTTGTCAGTGCACCATTCCGTTTCTTAAATTAACAAATACCTTATTCGGTAGTAACCAATATCTCCCACCAAAACAAACTTTGACAGATTAAAATCTAATTAAGTTTTAAAACAGGGGGATTCATTCTTACACCAAAACGCTGAAAGTTTTCGTTAGCAATGGCGTCATCTGTTTGAAATGTCAGGAAAATGACGTAAATCTAAAATTTCTATTATATCTATAGGAAATTGTAAATCCATAATTTAACTTGACACACAAGTACATTACACTATGATACATAGTCAAGTACATCAGTTTATATTTTTAATGAATGGTGTTGACATGGTTCCTTAAAATAATTTCTATAGAAGCCCTTTAAAATGTTACTTTTTCTACATACCATATAACCCCTATTAATCGCCCCTACCCCTATAAGCGTCCCCCACCCCCTGGTCTTTTTCAATTTAATTTTCAATATAAGGGCTCTCTAATTTACAGTGATCAAAATCATCCAGAATTGTTTTAATAGTCCGCCATAATAAAGAAGGGTGAAAATGAAATTGTGATTAGGTAACCCAAAATAAAACATAAACATAAATATTCTTGAAAGAAAAATATTTTTAGAGCTACCTTATCATATATTTCTGAAAATGAAAGTTATACACGTTGAAAAACTTGTTATCCTTGTCTATTCCCTAATTTCAAAGTGGGAAAATGAGTCATAGAGCATGATTTGGGTGGATTAATGAAATTCAAAGGAAAGTTAGACAATTTCTAGTGGTTCTGTGTTATTTATTTCTTTTAAAAAGATTTCTAAAAGTTAAAATATGACATTCACAATTTTAGCAAGAATATCAAAATAACAAACCCCTTTCCGCAATTCTCTAAGCACCCGGGGCGATTAATAGGGATTATATGGTATTTAGTTTGATTTCAGTATAACTTGGCACATTATAAGAGTACACTAAGATCTATAATTTTACCCATTGATTTTGAAGAACAGCTAGTACATGTGTTTTACTATGGTACACAGAAAATTCTCTGAAATTTTTTCAAAATGTTTCTCCTCCTACTGTTTTAATTTGATTGCAAGCCACAGAGTGTCTGAACCAAGAACCATTATCCTATTTATTATCGTGCCTAGTTTCAAGGGCTACTTTTCTCTTCTTTTTTATATAATTACAAGCCAGTAGAGCTAAAGCCTCATCAGGAACTTCTGTTTTCTATTCCATTTTCATGTTTTTAACTTCTCTACTCCTTTTGCAATCGAAACTTGACACAAAGTAGCTGTTGGCAAAAGATACTGCAATTTATTGTGTTATAATAAATCCATTAAAATGCATCAGATTCAGAGGAGTTTTCGAGGATCAGTATGATATGCTATGAGATGGCGTTGATATAAGATGAATACAGAACTAAAAGCTTTTTCTAAGGTAATGTATTATATTTCTTAAACATATCTCTAGGATTTAATTAGATTGCAGCATCACAAAGAGTTTTTAGAGAAAAGTAAATTAAGTTTTTGTTTACAGACATGTTGAGAAGTCGTTGGAAAGTGAAAGGGAAAAGGTACCATGAAAAGACAAGTCAACAGATCATTATTGCGGACATGAAAATGACACGCTGCTCTGCTAACTACCTGACGAAACTCCCATTTGATGTGGTTTGCGAGCTGAGAACAAACTTCTGGAAGTTGGTTGTCATGGTGCAGAACAAGAGGATCAGGAATCATAGATCAGAAATCTTCGGGGAAAGATGTATTTTGGCTGGCCTTCTTGTCTGCACTGACAGCTGGAGAATTGTTCATGGCATTTCCAGGTAAAGGTTAGTAAATGTTTTACTAGTAATTTCTTTTTTCACTTAATCCAGACTATAGATTTATGTAAACTTTTAACATGATTTCCCCATAAGATAGCAATATAAACGGAAAATTCACTGTTCAAAAATGTATGTATAAGACAATTTTTTAGATTTAGTTTTTTGCATAAGAAATCTAGTATTTGCAATGCAGGATATATATTAAATTGAAGTGGAATTTTACTTCAAATCACATTTTATGAAAAAAATAATAATCTGCTATTCTGTTGAGTACTTGTTTGAATATAAATTATCTTATAATCTGCAGTAATGTTTTTAGTCAGAGGTGAATCAATTCCTACCTCTGATAACATTAGTTTCCAAATAAATAAACCAGTAGTTAATTTACCAATATTGAAAAAAAAAACTTTTCTTTTTCTTTTTAAAGATACATCGAACAAAAGACAACCAAGGCACCACCAACAGATGGCAGGAACGGTATGGCCTATGGGCACCAAATAAATGCTGAGGCTGCTAATTTCTTTGACGACTTGGCGACCAACCATGGAGAAAAACTACCAGACAAACTAAGGATCATGCTGCCAACATGCCTTTCACAGAAGAATGCCTATGAGGAGTATGTCAGACAACACGAGAAGTTTTGGAGGTTAAAAGAAGTATATTAATGGTAAAATAAACACCTAAATGTATTTTGATATCTCAGAAATACTTGTGAAATATTGTTCGTAAAACATTTGAATGTTGAACATAGAACTGTCAGTCATGAAAAAGAATTATAATATTCTTCAGGTCTGGCGTATTAGATAAATGAATAAATTATAATTAATAAGTACAATGAGATAAAGCCATTAATCTCTATTGAATTTAAGAGAACTACCTTTACGGAATGCAAAGAGTGTGCCATGATAAGACAGCTGAAGTCACAAAACCTGACAAAACAGCAACTCCTGACCCTAGAAAAGCAGAAGAAGGCACACTTGCAAGTTGCACGGAAACTTGATTTATTATGTATCTGAAACAGTCCTTAAATACAAATATTAAAGAATACTTTACATAAGATAGGATGCGTCAAATATGTATCAGATAAATACAAATTTATTCATAAGAAAAATTATCTATTAAGAAGAGATCCACTTAATCTAAAATCTCTTAAAATTAATACCCATGTACATATCATTTCTGAGCAAGATAACTAGACCATCTTTAGAATTTTAAATATTATGTCATTTCATTGTAAGGAATATGACCATTTCCTCATAACTCACTTTATTTCTAACAATTAAATAAACTCTTTTTCATTGTAGCATTGCCAGGGAAAAGTACTACATGCACGCAAAAGAAGGCAGCTGAAAACAACCAGAAATACCCTTCCCTGATAATCGACAAGATGGACCAGGCCAAGACCAACCTTCCTCGTTTTCCTTCATATCACAAAGCTAGCATTTTCTGCCATTCTCTCCAATTAATAAATAATGCTTCTACTTCGATTGATTTACTTTATAATCTGATTTCCACACAACTTTCTATTTATAAAGAAAGCTAAGGGTTTTTATTGTTAGGATATTAAAGAACTAAACAACAATATGCAAACCAATTTAACCAAAATTTTGTACACAGGAAGATGCAAATTTGACCAGAGTTTACCATCATGTTACGGGGGTTCTCTCCCATGGGCACAAGAAGGCTTTTGTGTACACATGGACGGATAAGTTCTGCACCGACAGCAACATCACCATCTACTGAAGGTTCTGGAGGATGTTGCAGAGGTATTAAGATTAAGTACATGATCATAAAACAGATGAATATTTTATCAACTTATAAACTCTGTAATAATGGCAACATCTATGTCTGATATGTAAACTGTAAAACAGTTATATCTGAGAAAGCATTAATGGTCAAGATATGTACAATAAATGAACGTTTTGATATGCAATAATTGATTGAAAAAACAATTATAAACAAATTTATAGTATAAAACTTAATTACCCTATTTTTGTTACCATAAATACAAATAAGATTTTGCATATGAATTAGAGATCAACTGATAATGCATTATAAAAACATATTTATATGTTTTCCTCTTTGTTATAAAAATCCATTTTTGTTTTCATTTCCAGGGGAGTTCACTACCACCAACCCTATACCTGCAGGCTGATAATCCTGCGAAGGACAATAAGAATTATATTTTGATGGGTTTTCTGGCAAATCTGGTGCAACGGACGATTTTCAGGAAGGCCAGTATTTCTTCCATTTAACGGAAACCAATTAATTCTTTTAAAAGAACTTTCAACTTTTTGAGAATAAAGCATACAATTAAAAATTGGAAATCTTGTGAACAAATTGGGGTTTTATTTGTGTAGTTCCATGGATGTTGCAAAAACTAATTCATTCTAGATAGGAAATAAGAGTTGAAAATTCTCACAAACTATAAAAAGGATGTTATTCAGTA